ATATTGCTAGATTTCCATCCACCGAGAGTAATCCTTCTGCGTTCCCATCAATAAGCTGTTATAGTGCCTGTTTCCTGACAGGCTTAGTAAGAGGACTGTGTGATTAGAAGTTTAGATATTTGTCTGGCAGGAGAGAAGTGTTAATTTATATTTTCCTCATTATGAACAGAACATCTTTTCATATGTTTAATGGCCATTGACTTTTCTTCTTGTCTTAATCTTCCAATTTATTTTTGTTATTTTTGTGTCCTTTTTCTTCTGAATTTTAAAGATTCTTTATATTTTAGGGATATTAGACCTTAACTTTTCATGGTTTTGTATCGGGTATCTTCCAAAACTCTAGGTCCTGCGAACAACTCTTAAGTTCTGCTTTAGTAAATTAAAGGTGAGTGACGCAAAATACTCTCTCTCTCTAACATATACAATTTTCTCTTGCTTTTCAGTTTCTGTCACTTAACTTTCAGTTATATAAGTGGTGAATTTAGGTAGGACTGTTTTGGTTATTGGAGAAACTCAATTCAAAATAGTTTCAGCAAAAGAGGAAATTTATTGATTTACGTAAGGAAATTTATTGACTTAGAACTTCTGAGTCTAAAAAGACAGCTGCAACTTTTTATGAGTCACAGGGTAAGAGATAGCTAGGACACGTGGATGCCAGTACAAGGGACAAGAGTAATTCATGTTCTTAGCAAGAGGTGATAGCTGATTATAGTTCCCTCAGTGTAACTGATGAATGTGAATTGTGAATTAATCCATGGGCAAACTTTAGTCAGAGCTGACTAAAAGTGGAAATGGACTGCCCTGGGAATCTGTGAGTTCCTCATCTTGAGTTATTCTTAGTGGAGATGTTGTAAATCAGGTCCAAGAACCTATAGGATGGTTGGAATACATGATCTTTAAGTTCTTTCTCATCGTGAGAATTTGTTTGCAGTATTTAGCATAATTCCTGGCACATAGTAGATGGTTACTATAAGCTAAATAAAACGTTTGTGGACTTCATTATGCCACAGCTGCTAAAAAAAAAAAAAAATCCAAACGAATAGAAATAGAACTTCAAACACAGTCAGGTGCACGTGTGTGTCTCTCTCTGTGTCATTCCCGCCCCGATCTTTTCCTGTTATTGCTCTTTCTCTCCGTCTTGACTTTAAGGAAAGGCATACAACATAGTGTAGTGGTTAAGAGTTTGGTATAATGGCTAAGAGCTTATATTCTGAAGCCACACCACCTAGATTAGATTCCTGATTCTGCCTCTTACAAGCTCTGTGACTTTGGACAAGTTAGACCTTAGTTTTCCCTTCTGTTAAAAGAGGATAGTAATGTTCTTGTCTCAGGGTTGTTGTGAGAATTAAATGAAATATAAAAGCTTAAGTCATTGCTTGGCAGATGATAAATGCTATATAATTGTTTACTATAATTATCATTAGTATTTTCTCCTCCAGATGCTATCCTCTATAGGAGAGGGCACGGGACTACCTGTCACTCTGTGCTCACATCTTCACCATCTCCCCTTGTAGGAGTTTCCTGGGGCTGCCATAACAAATGACCACAAACCAGTTGGCTTAAAACAGCAAAAATGTATTCTCTTACACTTCTGGAGGCCAGATGTCTGAAATCAGAGTGTCGCCAGGCCCACATTCTGCCCAAAGACTCCAGGGGAGAAGCCTTCCAGTTCTGGTTGTTCCAGGCATTTCTTGGCTTGTTGCTACTTAACTCCAGTTTCTGCCTCCATCTTGACATGCCTTCTCCTCTTTTCTGTCTTAAATCTCCCTTTACCTTTCTCTTATGAGGACACTTACGTTAGATTAGGGCCCACTTGAATAATCCAGGATGCTTGTGTGTCAGCATCCTTAATTGAATTGCCGCTGCAAAGACCCTTTTTCCAAATAGAGTGACAGTCATCGGTTCTAGGGATTAGGATGTGGACGTGTTTTTTGGTGGGAGGTCGCCATGTAACTCACCACACTACCAAACAGGAGAGTGGCATTTTTTCCTACCTCCCTGCTATAGACTGAATGTATCCCCCTAAATTCATCTGTTGAAAGCTAATCCTCAGTGTGATATTTGGAGGTGGGGCTGTTAGGAGGTGATTAGTGCCTTATAAAAAGAGATCATCGGGCGCCTTGATCCTGCACTGCCCAGCCTCCAGAACAGTGAGAAATAAAATTTCTGTTGTTTACAAACAACCCAGTGTATGGTATTCTGTTATAGCAGCCAGAATGGACTAAGGCACTCCTTACTCTGAAAAACCCCAAGGAAGGACCTTAACAGGCTGAGTTTATTTATGGATGTTCATGGGCTAACCGGTCACAAGTCCCACTCCCTAGTAGTGCAGGTGCAGGAATATTGACATGTGGACCTATCCTTCACCTTCACTTGACCCTTTCTTGGGTAAATGGAGTCAGATAGCACAACATGGCCATTGGGACAATTGTAAACAGAGTAGGCACTCAAACATCTATGTATTTATGATGTATAGATGTTCCTCTGTTTTCCCAGTCTTGGTCTCATTCTGGCCTGCTGGATTATTGAGCATATCTCAACCTGGACAATATCCTTTAAAAAGACATAGAGTTTCAGCCTACTTTTTGCAGGTCCCAAGCCTTACTTGCACTAGCTTGTTGCTGGGAAGATGCTGCTGTATTTAGGAAACTGATTGGCTTATTGACCACACATTGAAGTGCTTAGAAACTGAAATTCTCTATTAAGACAGGCTTCCCAAGAGTTTCGTTTTCTTTCCTAAGTGGCGATCCATCAATGTAATCTTCTTTGAAGAAGAAATTATTTACCGTATGTTCTCTAAAATTGCATTATCGTTGATAGATCGCTGCAATCTACTCTTCCATTAGCTTGCTGGCGATACATTCTCTGTCTCTTTTATTCTTACAGTATCTAGTATTTAGGTTCAGAGCTAGAACTTTAGAGCCATGAGGTGTCACCAGCTATCAGAAAGTCTGAGCTTAGCATTATATTCAAATAGCTGTGCAAATTCAGTCACCTATACTAGTATCCTACTGATGAAGAGAAATCTATAGTAATTCTTTCAGAAACTACTATGCGTGCAACTAACTGGCAGTCTCTCTCTTCTCAGGTAAGAGAAAGCTAGTGATACATAATCAATTCTAGATTAATCTGTGAAGAATAACTATGGTAAAAATAGTAATAATAGATCATTTCTTAAAAAGTACTATATTAAGCAGCAAAAATATCTACATATTTGAATAACTATAAGCAAACAAGTTTATCCATATGTCTGTTGCAAAGACTACTTAATAGTATCCAGGTGCCTGGGCAGAGCTCTGTGGCTCTGTCACTGTAGCTAAATCAGGACTGTCAGAATGGAGAAATTAGAAAAGAGAGGGAGAGAGTAGTGGGACAATTATTGAGAATATGAATATGAAGCTGGGAGTATGAGTGAGTTGCTTAGCTCATGCTCTATCATAATGTTTGAAACAAGGAGTGCCCAGCTAAGAACCCAGCAGCAATGACAGATTATTGTAGGATAGCAGTCTTGTGCTAGTAGTATTTACACATTTTTACAAGATATCTGTGGAATAGTAAATACATTCCTAAGTGTTTGGTTTACACTTTTACTAGGCAAGTTTATACAAAATACAGTTTTTATTTTTATTTATTTATTTTTTTTAAAGATTTTATTTTTTCCTTTTTCTCCCCAAAGCCCCCCAGTACATAGTTGTATATTCTTCGTTGTGGGTCCTTCTAGTTGTGGCATGTGGGACGCTGCCTCAGCGTGGTCTGATGAGCAGTGCCATGTCCGCGCCCAGGATTCGAACCAACGAAACACTGGGCCGCCTGCAGCGGAGCGCGCGAACTTAACCACTCGGCCACGGGGCCAGCCCCACAAAATACAGTTTTTACTATGTTTTGATAAGTATTTTTCAAATATGATTTTGAAGGACCCATTATTTCCTCCTCCTTTCTCATTCCCCTGCCTTGTACTTATTTGACGATATGACGTTTGTGCTATCATCCATATAGACCTCAGTAAATACTATGTGACTTTACTCCCTAGCAAAACCTTCCTTCTTTTGCGCTATTGGTCACAGAAATATCTTGAATTTAAACTCACTGGAGGGTAGCAAGTCTCTTGGTCAGGAAAATGAGCGATGAGAGAGACAAGTCTATTTATTTGTGGATGAATAAGTTTCTTAGGCCTGAATCCAAAGATGTACGCAAAAGCAGGCATTAGAGAAAGAAAGATTTTTAGAGAGTGCTCAAAACTGTGTGGTAGGCTTAAATTGTCAGTGCTTGGGACTACTGGTGGCACCTGAGCCATCAGGTTTTCTCTGCACTTGCGTCATGATTTTTAAGTCTGGCTATACATTGCAACAACTTGGGGAGCTTTTGAAAGGATATTAATGCAAAAATCATCCCCCCAGGGGTAGAGACTGTATTGATCTGGGGTAGAGCCTGGATATATATCTATTTATCTCCATATATATGTTTGTTAAATTTCCTTCGGTGGTTCCAGTGTTCATCTAGGGTTGGAAACCACTGATTTACGTGAGCAGAGAATATCTATTAACAAAATCTCAAGAAGTGACTAGGTAAAACTGTTCAAATGCACTGTTCATGCTTCACATTCAGAGGTTTCATCTTTGTTTTTCAAAGGAGTTTACGTTTTTTTAGCAGTTTAATCAGTATTTAACTGGGTGCATAAGCTGCTCACACAGTACCAGAGTGGAGTATGAATTAGTGATTTTCCACTTTGGCTAAACATTAGATGATTCATTTCAGGAACTTTTACAAATCTTAATGCCCCGGCCATACCCAGACCAGTTAATTCAAAATCTCCAGGAGTGAGACTCAGGCATTTGTAATTTTCTTTTCTTTTCTTTCTTTCTTTTTTTTTTTAACTCTCTAGGTGATTCAAATGTAAAGCCAAGTTTGAGAATCACAAATCAAAATAAATATTTGTTGATTTGGTTTTCTTTAAATGATTTCACTCAAGCGTAGTCTCACTTTAAGTCTTTCTTTTTCAGGATATTATTGATAGACTTATAATTCTGAATTCTGAAGCTAAGATTCGTTCTTTATTCGACTATGAACAATCACACATGTTTGGACTGAGGTAAGGTGCTAAATTTTACTTGAGATATATTTTCTGCGTTGCAAAAACAGTTAAGCATATGTTCTGTATACTTTCAGAAAGTATTTAAAGTAAGTTAATTTTTGAAGCATGTTTAAAGGTAATTTGTTCTTCCTGTAACATTATGGACAAAATAAAATAAATGCTAGCCATTAGGTTTTTACGTTATGGCCCTTGTCTGCATTTAGGTTCTGTCTTATTACAGTGTCTTCCACTTTTGCCTGATTTGCTGGAGGCATTTTACGGACTATTCATTTCACTCAGGAGTCAAGTGGGGCTTCCCTGGGTTGGTGTTTGCTTGGTCTCCTGTGTAGTATAGTCTTGGAAGAGGCCTAGAAATGGATGAATTATCTTGAGGCCCAAATTTTGCTCCTTGATGTTACTCATTGCTCTTTAACTTCAGTTTTCCCAAGTTTTAAATCTTTCCAGTTGAGTTTATTTTCCTTAACATTTTATTCAGCATGTCAAATGCAGGGCCATAAGTAGAGGTGTTTGGGCTATAGAGACTCATAGAATTCTTAACCTTTTAGTCCTATTTAGACATATAACTTGCCTCCCTGTCTATAACTTACTGCTTTTAAATGCAGCTGAATTAAAGAAAATTCCCATTTTCTTAGATTTGTGACTTTTTCCCCCCTTTCTACTAGCAAAGTAACTTTTTTAGGCTTGAGGGGAGGGGGATCAGAGATAATGCTCTACCTAAGAAATAAAGCAATTACTTCTCTAAAATTTGAATTCTCTGATGGAAGTATATATTGTAGATCTTACACTCAAACTTTTTTCTTTCTTTTACCATTCATTAGTAGCTGAGCTTCATTTTTAGAGTTTCTAGTTCAAAGAAGGTAGAAAAAAGCTGCAGCTGTTGTAGCTCTTTGAATGGTGTGCCCTTTATCTCAAAATATATTTTCACATTAAATTTTAATTTTCCATGTATAGCATCAGATATGTCAAACAGTGTTGAGGAATACTAGGAAAAATCCATACAGTGGAACCTCCTTTTGCATAGCAAGTATATTTCTGAGTTTTGTAGTTATAGAATATAGATTTTGGCCTCTTATTATCGATACATTGAGTGAATTTCTTCTTTTCTTTCTTTCATAGAATAGTATTTTTCTCTCACGGTCTTCTGGTAAAAAATTTAACAGTAATATTTTAAGTCATGTAAAAAGCAATCCAAGAAGTAAAGTCCTCCTGGGAATAAAATGTTAATTTGCGTATTGTGTGCTTTCTCATAATATCCAAATGGAGTCATTCTGTCCTACGCTAGAAAATTTGCCATCCCATTGTTTGTACATACAGTAGAGTTGTGCAATGTAGTGTTCAGCAACATGGACTCGAGTCAGACTGCCTGCTGTTTACTAGTTGTATGAGGTTGCATCTCAGTTACCCATCTATAAAATGGAGGATGGTTATATTATTTTCCTCAGAGTTATTGTGAGAATTACATAGGAAAACTTACAGGGGCATGCAGCAGTGCCCGGCACGTCGCAAGCCCTGTAAACATTTAGTAATAGATCTAGTGGTAGTAGGACTTCAGGAATTTCTTTATACCTACTTGCTCTATACTTCTTTTTGTGTTTTACTCGGAAATGTTTTGTTTTTGTTTTTTCAGCATCCCAGTAGTTTTTCACATGCCGCCCAGTAATTTGCTATGTTTACAGTATCAGCATTCAGACAAAGAAAATGACAAAACCACTTTCTTAGGGAAAGTTTATCTTTTATTTTATGTGCCTTTTAACAAGTTTTTCTTTGGCGAGAAATTCATTTCGTTGTACTTTGAAGTTCATTTTCATGAGAATATTTAATTTAGTTGTATTTGTAAGTCACACATTTGAAGTTAGATAAGTTACGTCTGTTTTTCTACTAATTTCAATGTAGCATTGGTCATTGAGGTGCGGTGGTGATCATTTAGATCATAGCTTTGTATTGTATAAATCTTCTGCTTCTGTGTGTTTTGAATTCTTACCCGTATCTCTTTCTTTCACTCCCACAGTGTTTTGGTTTGTTTCTAATTGTACCGTCATCGTGCCGTTCTCTTCAGTAGATCATCTCATTAATGTGTTTCACTTCTATATCTAGCTTTGCTTGTTCCATTCACTTTATTTTTTCTGTGCTTCAAAAACCTAAGAGTAGCATATGGGTTAAGTTTGATCCAACTTCTTTAAAAGATGAGGCTAATATAGGGCTTAAAGAAATGTGGATTTTTCACTTTTCAACAGCATCACATTCTATTTAAATTTCTGAATTTTTATTTTCCGAGGTCTACTTATGAATCTTATATTTTAAGTGATTAACATACGAGAAGGTTGCTCCTTTGAATAGCTCTCCTGTCCTCTTTGTTTCCACTTCCAACATATGCTTTTCTACTATTGGTATCAGCGTGCAGACATGCCTTCACATGTCCCATCTTAACAATGAAACAAACAAAACACACTCCAAAAGAAACTCCCCTTGACCTTACATCTCTCTACAGCCAGCATCCTGTTTCTCTGCTTCTCACCATAGCAAAACACAGGCTGTCCCCACTTGCTCACCTCTGCTTACTTCTCAGCCCTCTTAGATTTGACATTGACTCTGTAACTCTGTCGGAACTGCACATCCTACCCTTCTCAAGGTCACTTGTATTGTCTGTGCTGATGAATCTAGTGGATTCTTTTTAACTCTCGTCTTACTGTGACTATAAATAGCGTTTGATATAGTGGACCATTTCTTTCTGTGTGAAAGTTCTCTTTGCTTCTCTGATACCACAGACTCCTATGGCTGCTGTGTCTCCTCCTTTGCATTCTCCAAGCAACCTCTGAATGTTGGAATACTCAGGACCTGGTACTGGGCCCACTTTTTTCTATACATTCTGCCCCTGGTTCATCCACTTACACCTTCACCTTTATCTGTATGCCAACGGATACCCCAATTTATGTCCCAGCCCAAATCATTATTCTGAGCTCCCAGACCCATATATACAACTCCGTCTCGACATCTCAATTCATACATTTCTCAGACATCACAAAATTAACATGTCTAAAACTAAACTCTTGGATCTACTCCCATAAAAACAAAATAAGTCTTTTGTTTCCATCTCATTAAGTGGCCCAACCATCTATTCAGTTGCTCAATCCTGAGAATGACCTTAACTTTTCTTCTTTGCTTTTCAAACAATTTATCTTTATTGGAAAGAAATTAACCAACTCAGGAAACTAAATTTAACAAATTAAGTGAAATTCCTCCTAATTCTGAAAGTAACATTGTTAACATTGAGGAAAATCATTCTAGACATCTTCTATGCATATACAGACAGAAGAATAGATAGAAATACATTCTTTTATAAAAATGGAATCATAATATAGTTTCCATTTTAAATTCAAACTGAATTTTATGGAAAAGAGAAGGGAACCCTAGTGACACAGAAGGAATTGTTGAATTTCAAATAACTTTTTTCACTCCAGGGGTTATTATTTCCTCAGAGATTCCTCTGAGGTTAAGAAAGAAGATTATGTAAAACATTTAAAGTGGTGTGAGCATTCCATTTCACTTTTAGACAGTACTGGTTGACTCTGCTGTGAAAGATGAGGACAGTAATCCTCTCATTGGCCTTCCGCCTTCCTTCTATCCACCTGTGTTAGAAGGGTGTTCTCCTGCCATTCTCTAACCTGCCTTCATGAGTCAGAGACCCTGTTTTCCTCTCTACCCAGGAGGGAGATTAAGCTAATCTTGGTTTCTTCATGTAGTGACATAAGACATGAAATACTTTTTATATATGACTGCAGAATCAGATTTATAATTTTTTAGCTTACTCTTCTCTATTTACTCAGCCAGTATTTATTGAGCACTTATGCTCTGTGCTAGATGTGGTGGATCTAATGATGAGTAAATAAGATGTCTGCTCATTCTCTTTAACCTCACTGCCTAGATTGGATATTAAGATAGTGAAGAAGCACATCCTTATAAAGCTTCCCACCTTCCCTTTTTAAATAACTGGCAATTGTAGACTCCTTTATGTGGCTTTCAAGGAGCTCCATAATATGTCTCCCCCCTCCTCAGCCCGAGCTAATGCTCTGGGTAAGTTAGTCTTCTTATCTCCCTCAAGCATACTGTGTATTATTGCCTCTCTACCTGTTTTTTATGTCTTGAATATTGCCTTCACTTTTGTCTTATACAAATTTGGCTCATCCTTCAAGGCAAAGCTTGCTTTATGAAATACTTCCTCCATGACTTATTATAGCATGCTCCGATCTTGTCTTTTTCCTGCATGTCCTTTGCCTTTATGGGCATTCCCACAGATTTAATATTTAATATTTCTCCCCCAACTAAAACTTAAACTGCCTGAGGGAGTATTGTATTGTTTTGTTCTTTTTCTTTACTTCATGCCCACCACATTGCCAAGTACTTTTTAGTTATTTGGTTAATGTTTATTTGTTAAATTTATTAATTGATTAAAACAGTTGCCTGGAAACTTTTTTAAGAAAGCTGTATATTTATTGAATATTTTGAGTGCACGTTATTTTCCTGAAGATACTATCTTTTAAGGACACAGTTAAGGCACAATGGGTTCTTACCCTCTATAATTTTTTTTTATTAAGGTATAATCAACATATAATCTTATATTAGTTTCAGGGGTACAATGTAATGATTCAATATTTATATATATTGTGAAGTGGTCACCACAATAAGTCATTTTAGCATCCGTCACCACACATAGTTACAGAATTTTTTTCTTGTGATGAAGACTTTTAAGATTTACTCTCTTAGCAACTTGGAGATATGCAATACGGTATTATTAACTGTAGTTGCCATGCTGTACTTCACATCTGCAGGGCATATTTTATAACTAGAAGTGTGTACCTTTTGACTCCCTGCACCCATTTCGCCCACTCTTCACCCACCGCCCCTCCCCCCGCCTTGGGCAACCGCTAATCTGTTCTCTTTATCTATGAGCTTGTGTGTGTGTTTTTTTAAAATCCATGTATAAGTGGGATCATATGGTA